CATTATCACTTTCACTAACCCCATTTTTTTTTTTTTTGGGCCGCCATTAAGCAATTTGGACTTAAAAAAAATGCTTAAACATGTATTTATTAATTATTTTATTAATCTGTAAATAAACAATTTTATTCGATATTTGTTATTTAACAATTAATAAAATTTATAAACAATTTTACACTCAGTGTGGCATGTTAACCGTGGAAGCTGATTGGCTTAAAACCATTTTCTCCTTTGGTTATCCGTTGATTAGTCAAACCCACATTTTTCTAAACTAGCAACAAAACCCAAAACTGTGGCAGATGTTTAAAAAAGTGTTGTTCAGGACATTCATGTCATTTAATCTGATCTAATAAAATATTTAATTTACAAATAAAATTAAATATCAAGAAACCGAAATCCCAAATCAATCGAAAAGTCTCCCAAAGCCCTAAACCTATCAAATTCTAATATAAACCAACCCCACCTTCAAATGTAAGAAGACATTTTGAATGGTATTTTAGTATTTTAATTGAAAGTTCTTGTAACTCTCATGTCACTGTAAATAAGAGTGTCTCTGCCCTAGCTGCCACGTTTCAGCCTTCGGGCAATGAGGCTAGACCTGGCAGGTGGGTTTGGTGGGTACAGGTCGAGTTAAACGGGTACGGGTAAAAAAAGATTGATTCTATACACGTCTGAAATATTGGACCGTGCCCTGCCATATATGGGTATGGGCCAATCCACGGGTACCCGTTTTACTAGTGAGCTCCAGCCATATCCACCCCAAACCAAATCACGACACTCTCTTCTTCTCTAATCCACCTTTACTGTATTATTTCCAATTTAAATTGATCTTATCTTCACATTAGTTTTTCTTCAACAATACCAAATAAAATAAGATTTTATTTAACAAATTTACAGAGTGTATGATGGTGAGAGTGGCCTGGCAATTTATCAAGCAGGTGGTGGGCAAGTGAAAATGGTGAATTCACAACAAAAAAATTCAATCACAAAATCCATTCACACTTCCTAATCAAAACTCCTAACAAACAACTTCTCCAATCAAATTTCACACCAGATGGGGAGCAATCTCCCAACTAACCACAAACATAATCCACAAGAGATTTATCACAAAAAACACACGTTGCAGATAGTGGAAGCTGCGGGTGAGTTGCGCGTGGTTGTCTGCTGGACGTCGCCCATTGGGTGTCGTGCGCTTGGAGTACGGAGTGAGAGAGATGAGAGAGCAGCGGCGGCAGTCATGGCAGCAAAATCCATTGTGATATGTTTGAGAATGAGGAGAAGAGTAGTGATAGTGTTTGAAAGTGATAGTGTTCGGTCTTTGACTTCGATTTGAGATTGAGTATTGTTTGTTTGTGTAGTGTTTGAAAGAAAATCCTAGACTAAAAAGTTTTTTTTTTTTCGTCTTCCTTCAAAATATGGGTACCCGTGAGCACCCGTGGGTATACCCAGTCCAACCGTTTAGAAAACGGATTGGGCCGGGTACGAGTCACATAAACACGAGTCTTAAAAAATGTCTACCCATACCTGTTTTCAAAAGGGTATCCGCAGATACCTGCAGATATAAACCCGTTTTGCTAGGTCTAAATGAGGCATCCTTACGGATTCGAAAGAGTAAATTTAAAGTGCACTTGTTTGAATATGAAAACAACACTTCACTCTCCTTCTATATATAGGAGCTTCTGAAACTAAAAAATAATAAGTTCAAATACAAATTCCTAGATTTCTGTATCAAGAATATTCATTGAGATTTTTAATTGTGGCTTTGACCTTGATTCTGAATTATAAAAACCAATCCTATCAATAACATCTAAACTACCTTGCAAGGGTGAAATGGCACTGAATCCATGACAGAGGAGAAGAAGCACAGGTATGGGTTCACATAATAACGAAGCTTAAAACATCAAATCCTAAGCATCTGAAACCCTTTGTGTGTTACAGACATTCTACCTTCCACATTTAAATAGAAACTAAAATCTAGTGTTGTAAATGCTAAAATCTACAGTTAGCGTGAAGCTTACATAAACACTGGTGTGGTCTCGCCGTAAGCGCCCGACGCTCAAGTCATAAGGCCAAGGGGTTATTTAATGAGGGCTAAGGGAATGAAGGTTACTAGAAGTTTAGTCGGAGACTAAAACTACGACGCAGGTGTTAACTCTTAGGAAAAAGTAGGTGGTATTGGAATTGAATGAATAATGAGAGGCATGACATCTGTTTATATAGTAGTCGTAGGATTCTTGTATCCTAGTAAGACTTTGAATCCATATTGGTAGAGTTCTAATAAATAGGAAAGACTAATTTACTTGCCATAGAAGGAATGAGAGTCCTAATTCACATAGGATATAAGATCTTGAGTGAATTAGGATAAATCCCAAATAGGCAGTAAGCTTACCAAGGTTTTAGTGGAATTCTAAACCCTTGGAGGTTGCCCTGAATCAAAGGGTCTGGCCTTATGTGGGTAATGGTGATGCCCAAATGGAAGGAGTTGAGCTTAGGACACAGATTGACCCATGACATGAACTTTAAGTGGGCCTAACTGGAATTGGGCCATGGCCTTGGCCTATACAATATGAATTGCTTCTTGGGCCCGACAAAGCCCAAGATGATTTTTGGCCTATACAGTCAAACCCCACTCTCTAAGTTAATGAGTACTTAGCTTGGAGGTAATCAGTCTGACTGAGGTTAACCAGGCGGATGACGATGTCCTAGGCCAAGCGAGCATGCCTGGTCGACGTGAAGGTAGTCTGTTTTGAAGAACGAAAGTGGTCGTTTGTAGATGTCCCCACTCGACTGACCAGCCAAGTGATAGGATGTAAACTGAATCCTTTAGATGTCCTCACTTGGCTGACTAAGCCAAGTGATAGGATGTCAGGTGTATCCTTTGTAGATGTCCCTACTCAGCTGATTGAATCGAGTGGTAGGATGTTGGGTGGATCCTTGTAAGCATCCTTTGTAGATCCCACTTGACTGACGAGGCAGTGTGACATCGTCTGTAGAGAAATTTGGAAATCTTGGACGTTTCAAGAATTAGAGCTCGATTCAGATTGTCAGGCGGGATGAATTTTTTCTGAGCACGATTTGGTGGCACGAGAGAATGAGACGGTGTAATGTAGGGTTTCACAGACTTTGAGGAGAAACGAGAGATTGCGACTCCCAAGGCAAGCTTATCGCACGACACGGGTATGGCTGGGATCTCACCTTCGTTTGAGTGGGAATTTGAAAAGTCGCGACCAATCATTGTTGTCGCGGGTGACCTCTGACAAGTTGGATGAGTAAAAAGGAGGGAACCCTATGGTGATTGTACATCTCATTTTCTACCGTTTCTTTTCCTTTCAAAAGTTCTATTTGTTGCAGCGGCACTTCTCGACGATTATAGCCATTGTTCACGATAAAATTCTATTCTCTATGGAAATTCGACTTTTCTTCTCTTTGCTTTCGTTTTAGTGTGTTTTTGAGGCAGTTTGGGTGAGTTTAGATTGGTTTTGGAGAAGTTTGGGAGAGCTAAACTTTTGCAGTTTTCTTTGGTTTCTTATGCTTTTCCTGACAAATTGAGTTTGAATTGGTTCTAGAAGGGATTATGTTGAGAAAAACGAGAGTATTAGCAGTCTTTAGGTGTTCTCTTGGCGAAACCTGTGTTTGATGCAAAAAATGGACGACTTTCTGGAGACTTTGGGTTTTTGAGTTTGTTGGAAGAGAGAAGATAGGTTCAATTTACTTAAGGTTATCACTTGGTCGTCTCGATGCTCTTGTCTGAGCCGAGTGAAGTGTTAGGTTTTGCATTTAGGGGTTAGTTGAGGTTAGGGTTGACTAGTCATCCAGTCAGTCAACCAGACACGAGTTGAGTAAAGTGAAGGAGTTTTAGTGTTGTGAAGACATGCTTCGATGTCGCATATCGAGTCAAGTGAGTTGAGTCAGATGGAGATGGAAATGGGAGGTAAATATGAGAGTCTCCCCCCCCCCCCCCCCCCACCCCCCCCCCCACCCCCCACCCCCCACACTGTCTCTACCATGTGTAATGTCGGAAGAAGAGACATTACCTGTGGGAATTCCCAAAAGGTTAAGTGTGGCTGTTGCCGAGCCAACTCCTGCTGAGTCGAGTGATGATGATTCTGATGGGCAAGGGGAGAGTGATGAAGAGCCAAGCAGTAGTCCTGAGGCCGAGCCCTCGACAAGTGGGAATTCCGGAGACGCTAAAATCTACGATTATGGAAAGAAGGTCCGATCCTATAAGGTTGAGGCTACTAACAATCCCCTGAACTTGCACACAAAGAAAACAAGCGTGAAGCTTACATAAACACCGGTGTGGTGTCTGCCGTAGGCACTCCGACGCTCAAGTCAGTAAGGCTGAATGAGGCTATTTAGTGAAAGCTAAGGGAAGGAAGAGTTATCGGAAGTTTAGTCGGAGACTAGAACTATAGCGTAGGTGTATAACTTTTAGCAGTAAGAGCTTAGAAGCAAGTATGTGGTATTGGAATTGAATGACTAATGAGAGGCATGACCTCCGTTTATATAGTAGTCATAGGATCCTTGTATCCTAGTAGGACTTTGAATCCGTATTGACAGAGTTCTAGTAAAATAGGAAAGACCCTAATTTACTTGTCATAGAAGGAATGAGAGTCATAGTTCACATAGGATACAAGATCTTGAGTGAATTAGAATAAAGCCCAAATAGGCAGTAAGCTTACCAAGGTTTTAGTGGAATTCTAAACCCTTGGAGGTTGCCCCGAACCAACAGGCTTGGCCCTAGGTGGGCTAATGGTGACGCCCAACATGGAGAGGAGCTGGGGTTGGGACATGGATCTGACCCATAATGCGAACTTTAATGCGGGCCCAACTAGAATTGGGCCATGACCTTGGGCCTACACAATATGAATTGCTTGCTTGGGCCTGAACAGATCCAAAACGATTTTTGGCTCATACAAATGTCATTCGAAAACTTAGCCTAAAACCAAAAGGAAATCCGACTTAGTTGCACATGATGTATTAGAAAGAAGATTAATTCACCGTATTGATGGGTCATAATGTATTTTTACATGAAAGTAATTTACAAACTCGCCCCCCTTTACGACAAAATGCAATCAACAACATAGCAGCCAGGATGAATTGTTAATCAAACATCACTTCTTAACATATAAATGCTATTAAGCTCGCAAAACTACAACTTATGGATGCATCTCAGATTACATTTGAATTCAAAGCTTAAATTTTTCCAGTCCACAGGTTCCGTCAAGTCCTTTTGAGTAGATGTATGCAACATAATCCTCAACAGAGGTTTCCCTGTAAATTGGGGGATTCTCTTCTGATAGCAACTCTTTTATTGGACCATACAATCTATGCTCATTCCCTTCTTGCAAATGTGTTCTGAAGAGACTTGCCACTGAGATTCTTGGACCTAAATTTGTGGCCATTACTCTGTGGTAGACACTTTTGAACTTGTCATTGGTGATTAACTGTGTAGAAATTATAAAAAGCTAATCAGACAATGTTATTTGGCCAATGCATTGTGCAACTCATGAATGAATCAGACTAACAAAACAAAAAGCATATCTTCAATGTCCAGAGATGTCCAACAATAACAGATGCTAGATCAAATTTAATGCTAAGTAGACTTGCCTGTAACATATCTCCAATGTTAACTATCAGAGCTCCGGGGAGGGGGCTAACATCAACCCACCGATCCTGATGGAAAACTTGAAGGCCACCGCTTTGATCTTGTAGAACCACCGTGAGGAAGGAACTATCAGTATGCTTTGTAAAGCCCAAGGTCAACTCTGGTTGGGGGCAAACTGGGTAGTAATGACCTAAAATATAAAGTCCTTCTGCACAACCCATTTCTTCAAGGTGGTTGCAATCAAGCCCAAGAGCTTCTGACATCAATCTGAAGAGGGTAATTCCAAATTTCGTTACTTCATTTGAGTAGTCGATCATTGTATCTCTGCAAAATGATAAATTTATAATTCATATAATGAGTTAATTCTGAAGAAAATTTGCTAGATTGGCATGTTTAAATCAAATCAGGACTCGATCAGTATGTGTACCTACAAACTGCAGGCAATTCTTCAGGATTTGGTGTGCGAGGAGCCATGAGACAATACAATGAATCTCTCCAATTAGCTGCTGATGCTTGATGGAGATCAAAATTGGTATTATAGGTGACCGCTTTCTTTTCATCTCGTGAATAGAACTCTTTCTTCACCCTTGTGTCTTGCTCGTGAAATCTACGTACAGCACAAACCATGTCCTCCAAGATGTTTAAGGGAATGCCATGATTGATCACCTGAAAGAAACCCCATTTCTCACAAGCATTTCCAACTCTGTCTACTATTTCACAGCGCACACTTGCATCTTTGTCGATGCCTTGAAAATCTATAATAGGAATACTGAACTCACTGTCACTGGAACCACAATTGTTATGACGCTTCTCTTGCTGGTGGATGAACATCTGTGGGACGGTGGCAACTCCAGAATCTACAAGTCCTTTGACACCTATTTTTGAGTCATCAAATGCTTTCAATTCACTCTCCCGGTGATATTTGGAATCCCTCTGTGCTTGAATTTTTCCTGAGCTTGTGATCACCATTTTCTTTTAGGAGTTCAATTGAAACTGTGTCGGTGTATATGGCTTTTGTATAGTGATAGAAGCTATTTTTTGTGTTTCAATGAGTTAAAAGAAGATAGAAGGAAAGAAACAAGAAAACAGAACCACCATTTTGTCATCATCATCCCGGACAAATAAACACCGAAACACTAATGAGTTACGTGTCATTCACTACCTTACCGTGTGATAATGTCACTTCCTTTATTTTCCGGACAAAAACGGAACCGTGCTACTCAAATAAGGTGTATTATTGTTTTCAGATCTGAGTTACCTGTTACATTCAATTTTCCTAGCAGCTGAAAGTTAATGCGTGAACTCTAGACATCAAGATTTATTTATAAATTAAACACAAAGAATATTCAATTTATCCACAAGGGAGCACAAATTAAAATTCATTGAAACGTCAAGATTAAAATTCAGGAACCCAGATTTCTTTATTTGAACAATTGACGATTAGAATGAAAATGTTTGAAACATTTCATCCCATCTGTTTAATTAGAAAGTTTAGGGAGAAACTTATAAGAACACACAAATGGTTGAAGACTATTGATTATGAGTCAATGCATTGGATTGCTCGTTTACAGATTCCAGTCATGATGGTAAACGATTAGGATAAAATATATCAGTGAATTCTGGTAATTCTTATAAGTTTATCTCAAACGTTTCTCTAAAATTTTTATAAATAAAAACAAAACAAAAGCATGCAAAGACATAAGGATGTAATGCTTACACGTAGATAAAACTATGTCCTCAGGTCCATAACAGATTAACAGCACACTACAAGCCTCATGAGAGAATATTACTTTTCTGCCCATAGTTGTGCTGATGTGGCATCTGATTTGGACTTTTTAACACATGTGGAGTCAAGATGCTGAATAGTTAGTCAAAGCTTATATAAAAAGAAGGAAAGGGCGAATACCACTGGACTCTTCTCATTTAGTTACAGAGAGAGAAAAGTTGTTGATATGGAGATTGACGTGGAGCTCTAGAAATCACAAGATGAATCCAATGGCCTCGGTGAGGATTGGTTTGTTCTCTTGTTTTTCCTTTATACATGGGAATGATTTGTTGTATTTAGTGTAGGGTTGCAAACGAACCCAACAGTTCGTGAACAACTCGTTGTTTGTTCAATAACTATTCGATAATGTTTACGGATAGTTTGATATTCGTTCAATAATATGTTCGATCGAGTTCGAACAATGGTTATTCGTTCGATTATGTTTGTGAACATTATACGTTCAACTGATCCATCAGTTCGCGAACAATCGTTCGATTGTTCATTCGTTTATGTTCGAAAAACATGGTATGCATTATCATAATTATATTTTTTTTTATTTTTATATTATGTTTGATTTAGTTTGGATGAATTTTTTTTAATGGTAATCAATAATAAAATATTATGATACTTTTATTTTTCTTATATATATAATATGTTTGGATTTTTTTTCCAAATGTCATCAATAATTAAATATATAAGTATATAGTATTTTAATTAAAAAGTAATAAATTATTATGATACATAGCATGACAAATTTAATAACATAATAGATTGTATAATCAAGTGATATATAATATAGTAAATCCAATAACATAATAGCTTCATATTTTTCTAAATGTAATCAATAATTGAATATTATAAGATAACATTGCAATTAATAAATAATAAATATCGTATGGGAAATTGATAAATATAACATATTGTATAATCAAGTGATGTATAACATAACAAATTTAATAATATAATAGCTTAGTTAAATATAGTATGGTAAATTGATGAACATAACATATTGTATAATTAAGTGATATATAACATGATAAATTTAATAATATAATAACTTAATTAAATATAATATGACAAATTTATGAACATACCACATTTTATAATCAAGTGATGTATATCATAACAAATTTAATAACATAATAGCTTAATCAAACCTAAATTAATCACACATTTAAATTAATCACACATTTGTATTGATCATATATTACAATAAACTATCATACCACTATGAATTTATAGGTGTTGATACAAAATATATATATAGACAGTAATTATTATATATATATATATAATAAATTAATCACAATTATGTATTGATCATTTATTATAATAGACTAGAGGTGGGCAGGGACCAATCCCAAGCAGGCCCAGGCTTAGACCGGTCACTCATGGGCCTAGAACCGGTCTTAGGCCCATGAGAAAAATTAGGACCCGGACCAGGCCTTAGGCCCTGTAGGGACTGGTCCTATGGGCCCAGGACCAGTCCTAGGACCAGTCCCATGGGGCTTGGATAATTAATTTTTTTTCCCCTCAATTTTTTTTTTATATTTTGGGGGCAAATGGGGGGTTTTTAGCATTTTTTAGGGGTAAAATTTATAAATTTTATAAATTTTTTAGACCTGGAAGATTTTTTTTTTAATAAATTTTGTAAAATATCATTTTAGCCCTCTTAATTTATATTTATTTCAAATTAACAGGGGGTTTTATGTAATTTGACAGGAGACTATATTGAAAAAATATAAATTTTTTTGGGCCCAAGCCTGGGACCCGGGCCTTGGAGGAGGGCCTAGTGGAGGGCCCGGGCCCTCCTCCTTAGGCTTGGTCCTCTCAAGAACCGGTCCTAGGATCGGGTTTTCGAGCTGGGCTTTTGGGCCCGATCCCAAATGCCCAGCTCTATAATAGATTCTCATTCTACTATGAATTTATGGGTGTTGATACAAAATATATATGTAAATATTTAAAATATTTATGATAATTTATGTAATGATAATAAATATATGATAACCTATAATTTTGGTAATTTCATAACATATTAAACATATTTAATTTATGATTAATATATGTATGATAATAATTTTGTACATACACAATTATATATATTGAAAATCCAAAGTCCAAACCCACATTTTCCCAGCCCAAATTTTAAAAATCCAAAGTCCAAACCCACATTTCCAAATGAGTTAGTCAAACGAACACGAACAAGCCTTTTGTTAATCGAACGAACACGAACAGACATCTTGTGTTATCGAATATGCTTATCGAACGAGTTTTGAACGGGCCTGTTCGTTCGTGTTCGGTTCGATTGCAGGCCTAATTCAGTGTGAGTGTGTGAAAGGTGAGGCAAGGGTGAGTACGGGTGGTTTTACTGAGGGGAATATCCTGGTTTTATCTTGTATGTTGGTAGGTAATCAATCTGATTACTAAACCACTATAAATTTCTGTGTTCTTTTTCTTTACTATTATGCTTTATTTTTCGTGCTTTCATTTTTAATTGTTGTGGTTGATTTTGAGATTAGAAATCTTGGGTCTCTTTTTCTACCTTGATTGAATAGTCTTGAGATTTAACAATAGTTTTGATAAATCTTGTTTGCGGGGAATTATGCAGATTTTCGTCCAAGTGCTCCCCATAGTTTCAAAAATGTGTCAAACGAGTACCAAAACCATGATTGATGACCATGGTTGTTAATATCCTATGATATGCGATATGTATCTTACGATACGATTCGATACGAATTGCCAACAATACATATTAGAGAGTATACTATATCATAAACCTTTTTATATGTATCCTACGATATGATACGATCCGTTCATATCCTTAAAAATATCGATACAAATCGATACGACTTTATTAATTTGGACCGAAAGCCCAAAAAAAAATTCAGGTCAAATCCGGGTCAGCCAACCTGGCTCACTAAAGCCTACCCAAATTTACTCATTTTGCATGGAGAAAGTGAAAAGGAAGATGTGTTGTCTATTTTACATGATAATAATAACACAAGTAGAGATATAAATATTGACATTGATCTTGTAAATAATATGAATGGTTGAGAGAAAAAAAATATATTCTTAATTTTTTGATTAATTTTGATTATATAGTACCATAATTTAAAGCCAATAATATCACAAAAATCATTAATTAATCATGGGGATGATATTAATTTTTAGAAAAATTTTATTATTTTATTAATTTTTTTTTAAAAATGTGTATCCTACGATACGATACACGATTCGAAAAATAAGGTTTTTGATATATAATACAATACGTGATTCGACAACCATGCTGATGACACTGTTTGAACTTCCGTTAACTGATCATGCATAAATCAAGAAAAAGACCAAATTAACTTTATTTTGTCTTTAAGTGAACATAAACCCTAATTAAATTATTTGAACAACAACATACCAAAACAAAACAAAAAAAGTTTTATATACTCTCTTTTATTTTACTTTTTTGTTACATATAAATTTCTCTCTATTTTATACATTTTCTCAAGAAAATTCTCTCCAAATTTCTCTAAAATTTCTCATGTAACAAAACAAAATCAAAACTAAAAATCCTAGTTAGTAAATTCGCATATCATTCACGAATTTTCGTATTTTATCAACATATCCATATTATTCGCAAACTATATGCCTTAGACGTTTTATTCATGAATTATTCGTATTATTGCCGTATTTTATCAGTATTATTCGTATTATTGTCGTATTTTATCAACACATCTGTATTATTCACGAATTGAATACTTTGCATTTGAAATACTATATTGATTTTAACCAGGTGGTCCATAAAAAGGCTAAAACCAGGATCAATGTTGCCGTATTTTTCAAAACATATTATGTCAATATGTCGTATTAAACCCATATATACCCATATTATAATTTTCTTGTATCCGAATTTTTACAAACGTATTTTTTACCATTTGTCATATCATATCCGTAAAATTCATTTACCCTTTTTTTGTTGTACTCGTATTTATTAACTAGGCTAAAAATCTCAAACCAAAATCAAACAATACTACACAAATAAATAAATAAAACATTATGAATTAAAAAAATAATGTTATAAAACAATATAGTAAAAACTTTTTATAGTCATAATGATGGGACTAATGAATTTTATTAATATGAAGAAGTTATAATTTAATAAAGGTGTAGTTACAAAATTATTGTTTTGATTTCTTATTTTATAATTCATGTTTTAGTAGTACAACATTAGGATTTCAATTCATATTTTAGTAATATTAGGATTTCAACTCAACGCTTCAAT